GCTGTGTGCCTGGTACAATGATTTTAATTAAACTTAATATATAAATCTAAACTTAACAATAATGTATATTAATACTACAATGCTACAACCATGTGTCACACCTCCCACTGAATAGAAAAAAATATAGTGATATTTTTAATACATAAGATACAGCTCTTTTTTTTTCTTTTTAAAAAAAAACGTTACCGCCACACTAGGATTTTCTCCTGTGTCGTGGAGGCAGTTTACAAACATAAATTGCACAAGGACAAACATCCAGACCCGGAACAATTATTTGTAGGCCATGCAAATACTTGTTCCGTGCGGGATTCGAACCCGCGGCCCCCAGCGCAACAATTGATTGCTAAGCCACTGCACCACGGAGCCGTCACTTTTAAAGTCAACAAGGTGCATATTGTAATTATTACAATGCCCATTGAAATATGAGTTGTAATTTATCATAATGAGTACTTATCTAAATTCTTAGCACCATTTATATTTATATAAACTTCCTCTTTTCTGTCTTTGAGTTGCACATTATGATTTTGAACTTTATTTCTCCCCTCTTAGTTAAAATACTGTAACAAAATGCCTTCGGACGGTTACGGGAAGTGTCCAACCCTATTTTTCATCCTGGCGTTGTCGCCATGTAATATAAGAGGTGTCAAGGTGTGTATCCGCTAAGATAACTATGATTAAACTAAAGCGCAAGTTCTAAACTTAACAATAATATATAATATTATATCGTGTAAGCTATAATATTACACTACAATACCATCGACAAATCAAGTCGTTGGGAAGTTACACGTTCACTAACAGATGCATCAACAATGCGAGATTACAGAACAAAAGGATTTTGTTCTTTAATCTGACTTCAAATATATAGTTGAATTAAACCAATAACCAACTTATAATGTGAAAGATAATTCAAACAATTTTAATGACGCCAACTTACTAAACTCCCTTTAAATAAGTAATGGATTTTCTACAAATTAACTAAGAGCTGTTTCCTAAGGGTAAACTAATCTCAATAAATCACTCAAAGTTGAGCATGTAATCAATAACTTGTGTCAATAAGAAATATCAACTTTCGTCTTCGATTATATAAATGAATATCAAGTATTTTTACTTCAGCGCTTTAAAAAGAATCATGGACGTTAAAGTAGGTAAGTTTACTAAGTAATTAAGTGTTAAAATCAATAAAAAAAATGTTTATACAGTACAACTAGCAATATGTTCCATACCATAGTAACACCCATACCCAGAACAATTATTTATAAAATACCAATACTTGTTCTCACCAGGACGTCACTTCATCTTGTGTGGGTCCGCCCTACGCTTTGCTTACGGTTCGAGGCTGGCACTTGAGTACCTTTCTTCCATATCGGTGGTGGGTTCTTCAAGCTATATGACCGACTTACGGCTACTGCCACTTTAGTTATCGGATCCGTTACGCTATGTCAGTCACTCACTGCGGATATCTTCATTACCTCATTACAGGAAGTTGATGGGTGCAGGTGGCTCAGGATCTTTGTGGCATTCTTGGGGGAGCCCTATGTCCAGAAATAGACTTGTGATGGGCTGTGATGATAATGAATTATTATTCCGTGCGGGAATCGAGCCCGCTTTTCAAACTCTTTAGTTATACTCGCTCATTGCGCGCGAACTAATTGTCACAAAAAACGCTATTGTTTATAGGAGAACAGCTATTCAATGCCAGACGATATAAAAACTGCAATATCGGGAATGTGTTCAAAAGTAAATTTAAGAAATACTTTCGTATATAGACCCTAAGTCTAATGTGTATATAATAAATAATCGAATCGTTTTCAAAATTCTAGAGGTAAATATTATATTATTACCTACTGGCCCGCCCTAGCTTGCCAAGGTTGGATGCATTTATGAGGCGTCATTCACTTTTTTAGCAATTTAAAAAATGCTCCAGGTTTTTCGGATTTCTACTGTAAAGAACTAAGAATAATAGATATATTTCTCTGTATACATTTATAAATGAACTATTACTCTGTTCGTATTCTTATGAGAAATAAAGTTATTTAAACCTAAGATTACTTGCAAGATTTACGCGCAATATTAGGTCGGTATACCTGACGAGAAGATGTATCGTAATTTCCCGAACACTGCCTAGGCGAGTTGAATCCATCGATTGACCTATCGGTCGAAGTATGACTTACCTAGTCAGACTATTTGTCACAGGCAAACATACTCGTCAACAACTTCGAGCTTATTGCTGAACATTAAATTTGTTTTCTCCATGTTCATCTTAAGACCAAACCGTTGAGAGACACTATTGAGGTCATTGAGCATAGTGCTTAGGTCCTCTAGCGATTCTACCTTAAGGACTATATCGTTGGCAAATCGAAGGTGAGTGATGTACTCACCATTAATGTTAAACCGTATCCTTTCCAGTCCAGTAATTTAAAAAGGCCTTCCAGTGCAGCGGTGATGAGTTTCAGGAATATCACATCATCCTGTCTTACACCTCTCTGCAGTTGGATTGGTATTACTCTGGGTCTGTACTCGGATAACCATCGTAACCCTAGAGAAATTCAACTTGGCACCGCTGAAGGGACTGCAGTACCGCCCAAATTTCGACGGAATCAAAGGTATAGTAGGCAGTCATAGTACACATACGCAAGACAAAGTGGCAGATTGTACTCTTCTTCTTCATTTGCCGAAGGGTATGTATAGTCTTCTATACATACCCTTCGGCAAATTGTATAGAAGACTGTACAATTTGCCGAAGGGTATATATGTGGTCCATGGTACTAAAGCCTTTTTGGAAACCGGCTTGTCGGGAGGCTGAAAGTCGTCGAGTCTGCATGTGAGACGATTCATAATAACTCTCGAAAACAGCGCGTAGACGCAGCTTAGAAGGGAAATTGGTCTGAAGTTCTTTCAGAGAGCATTGTCGCCTTTCTTGAAGAACAAGACCACCGCATTTCTGCTCCCCACCTCCGTAGCAGTTCCAGAATGGAGGACAGAACTAAAGAGCTTCTGAAAGACTTCAAGTACCAATTTTCCACCCGCTTTCAGAAGCTCCGTTGTAATTCCATCCTTGCCCGGGGCCTAGCCGTTTTTAAGTTGCTGGAGAGCCTAATCTCGCTCAGACTGACGTCCGAGATATCATCGGAATAGTGTCGGATAAAACTTACTCTTGGATCATTACTCACACTTACGTGTGGCTCCAACGATGATGTGTGCAGAAGCCCATAGAACCTCTTAATCTCACTCAAAATCTCAGGTGTCCCGGAAACGATGCTGCCACAATTTGTCTTTAGCTTTGACAGATGGCTCTTTCTTGCAGACAGATCTCTGGCAAAGACTGGAGCCTTGGTTCCGCTCGATCGCTTCGTTAATACGAGCTGTATTGAAGTTATTAACAGTGGTAGAGCCACGCGCAGCTTTCGCTGTCGCACGGATGGGCCGGCTCGATCCGGGGTGGTACCACGACCTCACAGAAAACCAGCGTGAAGTGGAGGTTTACCTCTGCGTTTCGCTTGGTGAGTGCAGGTGGCCGGAGGCCCTTTTTACTGGAAATGAGGCATTCCATCTTAGTCCTCACGGTTGACAACGCATCTGCATTTTGATTCGCAAGCGAGGATAGATGTAGATGTCTATGGGCCGCAGCAACCACTTACCATCAGGTGGACTGTGTGCTCGTTTGTCACCCTTATCTTATAAAAAAAAAAAAAAAAAGTTGCGTTAATCGTTAACAGTTTTCACCCTCGTGATCACTGAGATAACACTGAACAGTTGTCGTCTGGTCGTCATAATGTAGTCAATCTCATTTTTTGTCGAACCGTCGGGGCTTGACCAGGTCCACATCCTGTGGGGCCGCCTCTGGAAGAAAGAGTTCATCATAAAGAGCCCCTCTTTCTCCATGAAGTCGGCCAGCTGCTGCCCCTTGGGTTCCATTGCCCTCTTCCAAATTGCCCTACCTTCAGCTCATCGTTCTCTCTTGTGCCTAGTTTTGCATTGAAGTCTCCCATTAACACCGTATAGTGAGTGGGTTTTGGAGGAATGCATGGCTTTAGAGTTATTCTCATTTATTTTCTCCTCCTTCTCATCGGGATGTGCCAAGGCTGGTGCGTAAACCTGTATGATCTTCAACGAATACCGTTTGGTGATTCTGATTATAAGGTACGCAACCCTCGTTGACACACTCATAATCTTTACAACGTTGAACGAGAGACTTGTGGACAATAAATCCGACACCTCCTTGGAACAGATGGTTGCCCTCCCGGTGATAGAATAAGTTGCCGGATACGAGGATTACCCTGTCCTCCCCCTTTCTTCGGACCTCAGATAATTCTATAATATCACAGCGTAACTAGTCCATCTCTACTACCAGCTCCAGGAACTTCTCGTCAGTCCGTAGGGTGCGTGCGTTGTATATTGCCAGGTCGAGTCATCCTAGGTGCCAACCAAACCGGATATTCTTACCACGCCCTGCCCCGCCGTTATCATGATCACCAGTGTAGCCAGGAATAGCGGGGCCGCCGGGGACTGGAGGCCGTCTCTTCGTAACTTTCATCATAGGGGCCATAATTGCCACATTTGGCGACTGGGTAGGCAACCGCAATGTTTTTATTGTGCTAATGTTATTATCAGGAAGATGCTGCTGCCCATCGCCATATGTCTCCTCTTACGACACCCACGGGACGATATGGGGTAGTGGATATCCACTGCCTCTCATCTTAACTGCTACTACATGGCAACCCACAATCTCTTAAGTATGGTTATATATTTTACATATACACATAATTTTACATATCACCATCTACTCGCCTAAAGGCCGTATTTTAGTTCGGTGTGTACACATGAAAACGTTACCTCATTCCTCGCAATGGTCTAGGCTCTATGCGAAAAGTATTTAATCAAGAAGAATTTTAGATTTTTTTAATAAACAACGCACTTCCAACCTTAAATGGAAGTCCCTGCCCCTGAGGAAAATCTTTTCGAAAAATATTTTGAAAGTAGTAAAAAATACACCAATTATTGTGTACTAATTATTTATTAACAGCTAAAGCTTCTAGTCTAAAATTTTTGACATCAGTTAAGAATTAAATAAAATTTTGTGATTTTATTAACACTTACTACTATTTTAACATTGTATTACAAATCCGAGATAACGTGAAAGCTATGATGAGTACACACGATGCAACGGTCTAAGAGTTCTGGCCTGTCAGACCAAGTCTGTTCGACACAATAATGTATCATCTTGTGCGATCGGGTCGGTAAGAAATCTGATGGACCAAATTTGTTCCAACGTCCTATTGTGGGTAGTGACTATTACCCGTTGTTAATTATTATGCGATATTATTATTAGGTTGCAAAATTACAACTAGACTTCGTCGTGAAGCCTACTTTGGAATCCGGTTGATGCTGTCGGAAGACTTTACAGAACTTAAACTGCATGTTGATTTTGTATTTAAGTACATAATTTTATTGCTTAGTTATTAGCACAATGTAAAAAATATCAGTCTTTAAGCTTCTTTTTTACTTAAAACACTAGTATTACGGATAAACAATAAATCCTCAATCACATCGTCCTTCATAGATAACCTATAGTTTGAAAGTACAAACTTAACAGAGGAAAATAACCTCTCAACGCTTACTTGCGTGATTGGTGCAGCAAGTACGATAGATGATAACCTATATAAAAAGGGAAACCTCACGCGAGCTTTTTCCCAGTACGATAACACATTTTCTGTAGATTTGAGTAATGGTTCTGCTAAAAATAAAGTCATGGATTGCTGCAAGTTGTCTAACATATCGGCATATGTGTCACTTCGTTGTTTCATCATTTCGACGTGACGATTAATATAGTTCTTATTCAAAAAATAATCTAGTTCGCCTCTGGCTTCAGATATTTCGTATTTTTTGTCTATGGTCGGAATTAAGGTATTTGTTACATCTTGTTTATATTCATGTCCGAAATATCCTTTAAGGAAATATCGAATGTAAAGATTAGTTAAATTTTCTTTTGCTTGTTTCTGTTGATCCAATGTCAAAATTGAGTTTACCCGTGGATCCAAAAATATTGCATTTAAAAATACATCATTTTCAAACAATGTTTTTTCCCTTTCTTTCATTTTAGCTATTAAATTTGAAGACATTATTGTATTAATTTTGGTAAGCTTAAATATACACATCATCCATTCAATATAGAAATCGCCAACTGTCAATAGTTCATCTTGCAGTTTTTTTGTTAAATATTTTACAGGTGTTATAGACTTTAAAAAATCTTCTACGCCGTCCCAAATTGAATCAGGTAGATGTAAGCGGGCATCCATTGCACATATTTCTTTCAGTGACAATAAACTCTTCAACATGTAGACTTTTGAGAGCCAACTGGTGCCGAAATTCAATTTTGGTAATTTTTTTTCGTTTTCTTTTATAAGTCTGACAAATTGTGGTGTCCTTAGACGTCGCACAACCTCTTTACAACTGCAAATCATGTTACCAATAGCTGCGTCGTTAACGGCATCTTGTATCGCTAATTGAAGTATGTGTACTGCGCATCTAACAAATTCAACACCCCTTTCAGGCTTTTCCACGTGATTTTGAAATCGCACTCTTAGTACGTCTGATAACTCATCAATAATATTTTCAGTCCCTTCCAACTCAATATTGTACTCCATATCTAAATCAGACTCACAGGTGTTGCATAAATGTGAATCAGTCGGTATATCACCAGATGCATCGTCGTTGTTCAAGCCAGATTCGTCTACGATTTGAATCATATTGGTCCCGTTATCTATTGTTATGTTGTAAATTTGTTTATTATGTTCAGTATCTATGCCAATTCTATGAAGATTATTAATCAGTAATTCCTTTAGGTACTCCGAGCTGTAACGTTGAAAAATTTCGATAATTCCTAGATTTTGTAAAATGATATGACCATCTTCTATATATTGGCAGTTAATACCCATAAAACTTCTGGTTGCATGAAATATAATATCAATCTTTAAGGATAAAATTTTACCTTGCAATGCGTTGACAAGCTCATCTCTAATGTTTGATGCTGTTAATTTTACATTGTCTTTTATAGCTTGTGCATTGACTGTCGCTTCACTATTTGGTATCAATGATATTAAATTTTGAAAAGCCGTGTCATTCATCAATGAAAAAGGACGCCCGTGAACTACCACTAAGTTGGTGCATTCTCTTAGTACTATTTCAGAATTTGTACAATTTTGGAGCTCAATGGCAGTGTTCTCTTCTTGGCTTCTATTAAGATCCACGACTTTTGTGTATTCCTCTTCGTGAATACGTTTTAAATGTTTCAGCAAATTCGCGCCGTGGTGCGTCTGAAAAGGGGATATATAAAATTATTTATAAAACATTTTAAACTATTTACATGTGTAGCCTATTTACTTCAGTATATTCACCACATTTTTAAGTATTCCTTTAAATATATATTTATGAATGAGCATCATATGATTTCCTAAATTTACGCGAACTATACATATTTAATAAAACTCTAATTCGAATAAAACTTAAAACTAAGAAGTAAAATTAAACACGTTGAAATTAGTGAAATTAATTTAATTCAATGTTTAGAGTTAATACGTACAAAAACTCATAATATAGGGGGCGGCCCTACACTCCACGTACAACACCGTCACCTGCCACTCGAGAACCCTTCTTCCACATCGGTTTGCAGTTCTTAAAGCTATAATATGGTCGGCCCACTGCCCCTTCATATGATTCCTTGGGCTATGTTGCCTATTCTGCTTCTAGCGCGGATATATTTTTTTACGGATTCTTCAACTCTTTAAGTTAAAATAAATAAAATAAAACGCAAAATTTAAAATAAAGAAAAATTTAATTTATAGAGACTTGTGTTTGTGTTGTGTTAGTGGTCGGAATTCGATCGTAGTTCATAAAGTTTTTAGGTTTGTATTTTATGAAGGAAAACATTGTGATAAAACCTGAACGTTAAAGAAATATAAAAAAAAATGTTTCGAAGACATATCCAGTTCGCCATCATGCATTGGGGCAGCGCGGCGGATATTTCTTTGCCCTAAAACCCTCTCAGAAATGAGAGAAGGCCTGTGCCAAGTATATAGGTTGTAACTTTAACTTTAGGTTTGTATGTAAAGTAGGCTGTATTTTACTTCGAACTGCACATTAATATAAAAACACAGATGATAATAATAATGTCCTAGAAACCGAATTTCGGTACCTCGGCGGCCAGTAGACTAGCCATTTGCGTTGGACAAAAATATAATGCCCAAGTGTATGTGCATGCATAGGTGCACTCTCTATTCCCTCACTCTCGTAATCCGTTGAGAAGGTAAATTCCTGACAACGAGTTGCTACTAAGAATATATTTAAAGAAATACCCAATAATTGATTTTGGCCCGACCTGAGATTCGAACCCGGGACCTTATAATCAGGAACCGCGTTTACGACCACTAACGAGGTAGTCTGAATCGACTGAAATGTAATGTAATGAAAAACACGGATATCTAACATATAAAATATTTAAAAAAACTCCTTTTTACCTCGACATACACTCCACATGCATCAATTTTTTGCCTCGACATACAATCCAAAGTAATCAAGTGCGTGTCGGGCCACGCACTATGTAGAGGTAGGGTTCCGTAGTTGCCCGTCACAATTCGTGGGCTTCCTTGATAATGAGCATAATAATTGAGTTCACGGTTTGACCTCTATAACTATATTATTTACCTCTATAACTACATTATATATATTTAGGTTATTTTCTATCGAGTTGTAACGAAATGTTTACTAATCCAAGGGCATTTTATAAGTTGGTCAACTATTACTCGTTAACTTCTTAATTCTACTTGGCAGTGATAGTTTCCCTTTTAACTTCATTGTATATACTACTATTGTGTATACTTTTCACATTTCCAAAACAGTGGTTTAATTGGTAGGGGTGTGGACACATGACTCTAATGAATAATACTAATTTAAAGCTAAATATTTCGCAAATGGACCCCTGAATCGAAAAAAATGTTGTTGCACACCACCAAGGCTTTTGAAAGACCTATTCAACGATACCCCACATGAAGAAATAGATGGGTAAAAAAATCATCCTCCATTTACTTGTATGGGAAGTACCCAAATGAAAATGTTCTTTGTGATTTTATTTCACTAAGCGTGATTAATATCTATGACTATGCCAAATTACAGATTTGTAGCACATATGGTCTCCGAGCAAAACCGCGGTCGGACGGACATGGCGAAACTATAAGGGTTCCTTGTTGTGTAACTACGGAACCCTAAAAAGGAACATTTAAAATCTCACAAAATTCACAGCTTATTCGTTCAATTTGTCAGGTATAGTAATTATTTGTTGGAAAACCTAAGATTTCTTGGCGAAAATCTATATTCTGTGCGACTGTTTGCCCACAGACTATTAAATTCTTGACTTTTTGTTCAAAAGTGTAAACAATGTATTTAATTAAAGTTATAAATAAATTTTAGCTTTCTGTAATCCTCCATATAAACTTTAACTATGCCAAATCTCATACTCATCCGTGTACGCAATATGCTTCAAAAGGATACAAAATTTTCCCTTTACGTATTTATATATAAGTAATATATAAATAGCAATAAAAGTAGCCTTTCATTCAGAAGTTACTTATGTGACTTTCATACAAATCCCAATGGAATTATGTGACTTTGTTATTGAACAATTATTACGTATTTAAAATAAACAGTTTAAAAATGTAATATGTTTAAATAAAAAGAAAGTGTACCACGAAACAAAAATCTATACAGCTTTAAAGTACCTATTTACTTACTTTAAATTAATGATCTATTATTAAAATTTCTCATAATAGTACTCCTTATTTGAACAAACCGGCCGTGTGTATTCTAGTATCGTTTTCGGACAAACAGGTGTTTGAAGCCTAGTTGATATAAACATTGATTTAAGGTACGTTGGGGTAATACCGGACGGATTTTCGAATAGTTGGAAGAGTCTGCCAAAAACTTTTTTTTCTCGACATTCGTATACGTCAGATTTATGGAACATGGAGCAAACCGTTAATCGTTAAACGTAGTTTAGCTCTGAGAATCTTTTGCTTGTGTAAACTCAACGGTTTCTGCTTTAAAGGTGTGCGAAAACTAGACATACTTTTTTATATGCATAATGAAAAATTGGCCATTAAGGGGTAAGACCGGACTTAAATTTAAAACCACTTCTACTGCTTAGAGAAAAAAGTTTATAAAAGAGATTTGTCCTATCTTTAACGCTAAAAAACATATTTCAATATGATCTATAAATTACTAGAAACATAAATGTTCCAAACGATTTTCTCTTTTTTTGTTTCTTGCCATCCGATCTTATCCCTGATATAAAGAAATTGTAATTTTATGTTTCTCAAACTTTGTTATGACATAAGATGGAATTACTCAATATAAGAGAAAGATCGGATGCATTTGATTTTATATGGGAAAAAAATAACAGTAAGGACTGGCGAAATGCCCTGGGATAATGCAGGAGTTAAGGAAGATATATTTTAACAAAGCGGCATTTATTATTATAAATTATTTTTTAAATAATTATTATAAATTACATTTTGATTTGTAATAGAGGATAGATATAGATGTCTATGGGCCGCAGCAATCACTTAACATCAGGTGGACTGTGTGCTCCTTTGTCACCCTTATCCTATAAAAAAAATGTATTTTAATGTGTACTTAAAAGTAATAAAACCATCCTATTGTTTTATTACTTTTAAATATACAGACTTGCTAACGAGACTGAGTCCCATAGTCACTTGAGTAATCAACGAAAAAATATACACGACCAATGAAAGTTTAACAACCACTGCCATATTTGTAACAGGCAAAGATCGGATAATATTCATCCGATCTTCACTCACGAGGGGAAACATCGGATCTCGGCCTACAGCGATCTTACCCCTGCATGGACCAGCCTTATTTAGCTATAACTTCATAAAAATTAGTATCCACACAAAATAATAACAAAAGAAGCCATATTCTCGCTAAAAATCGTAAATAAAAGTGATAGGGAAAGATCGGATGGGCAAAAATAATACAAAAATTACATTGTTTTATAAAATGCCACGCAGCACAGGTCCCACTTGCCGGAGTGACTGGCGCGAACTGAGGGTCGGGGCAGGATGAAATGGCGTCGTGTAGCATATTGTTAGCTTTTCAAAATATAGCATAATTCGCCGGGAATTTGAATCCTACGGTCTTGCCCCATCACCGATCTTACCCCAACGTACCTTATATGTTACATATGTTACATGTCTTGTATAACTCAATGGATATAAATGAATTTTTATGTAATTCCTAGATGAATTTTTGAGTTTGTACCAAGTTTGTACGTACACTTTGACTTTTTTCGAGACAATTTTATATAGTAATGCCAATTATATAATAAAATTTAATGTAATAACTTTAAAATTTAATTACTTTTAAAATTTAATTTAATGTAATAACTGAATAAAAACATTTATAATTCACATTCTCCAGACAATCAGTCGGTGTTGGTGGAGTAACGACCCTATATTTACCACAAGTACAATACCGGCCAGTAACGGAAAGCAGCGTTAGAGGTGCGAGACGTCTGGTACTGATATTGCAAGCCCGCCTATTATTAGTAGGCTACATGGCGGTAACGGCAAAACCACCCGATTGTGATGGTGGCCCATGTCCAACAGTGGACTGTCTACGGACTAATTAAGATGAACAAAAATACATTGTCTGTTTACCTTGAAAGTTTTTCCGCATTCAGGCATTGTACACGTAGACGTCCCATCTTCGTGTAATTCAAAGTAGCGATACACGGTATTTGTTTTCTTTCGACCCATACTGCTTTCGAAAACAAAAACAACTTCGACGTGTCTCACACACAAAACAACAAAAACAAATTGGTCAGTTCGTTGAGAAACAAATGCCAGAGAAATACCGTTACCAATGTACCAAATAACTATATACTCTGCGTTACAAGCGTATCGACTTGAATTAAGTATTGCTAAAGAGCAAGTGGCGTGGCGCGTCAGCGTCGCACTCACACTCAAGCGTTGCACGTGGCTACAGGCCGGTAAGCCGCAGAAGCAAAGCAACGGCAACGTCGCATCAATTGCTCGCTCACGTATTTCATATGAGGTGGAAGAGCGGCAACGTCTGAATTATTTAAGTATCGTTTTTACTTGTTACTTAGTAACGTTATTTCATTGTTAATTGCCATGAATTGATAAGTGATAATAACATTATTTTATCGTTATGATATCGAGAAACGATAATTCTTACTACTATTATAAAAATATTAGGTAACATGAAAGAAACGCTTATCTTAATAGGATATGCCAAGTAATTGGCATAACTATCATACCATGGCTCAAATAAGTCAACTGTAGATAAGTTCAAATTATCTATATAATATATGTATATTATATATAGTATGTAAATTCAAATCATATATTATAATAAGAAATCATTTACTTAAATTAGAAATTAATTTCAAAACACTTGAGATATTTTATTAACTAAATATAATATTATAGCACTTTAAGCTTATAACACTATTCATCTGGCATGTAGGTACCAAAAATTAGACATGCGATGAAAAACATTGCTTGCTTTCTTAATTAAAAGCGGGCTGGATCTATTGTTCTAAAAGGTCACTTGTACTTCTCGTCACCGCACTGCTTACCCTAGCACTTAATTAGAATGCTATCTATATACTTACATACAACTAAACATAAACTCGGCCAACGGATTAATGCTATGAAATTAAATAAATCGGGTCGCCCGGAGATGTCAGGTAGAAAAACAAGAAAATCTAAATCGCATAAAACAACGTATAATATTCAAGTTATTATTCATACTATTTTGAATATTAAAAGACTTTTTATTTATTTAGGCTTGTTTAAAGCTGTTATAAACGACAAAATTTATCGGAAAACAAAACCTTTTCAGAGAAGAAATGGCAAGAAACTGATTTTAGGGTCATTCCGTAGTTTCATGCAAAAAGCATTTCCAGACCAATTTTCACGTGAAAAAAGGTATATATTTTGAATATTATTTGCCCATTAGGTTTGAAAATAATCACTTTAAAAGTAGCATTGCTACTATTACACGTATATTACTAAGTTTATTAAAAAAATACGAAAACCTGCCTGAAAAATCATTCCTCTCTGTTTCCAACGGGGTACCTCAGCTGGTTTTTTAATAATAATTTGTCGATCTCCCAAATAACAGCTATTATGATTATGCTACATTGTAACTGAAATCATTACTTATCGATAAAATATTTTAAATAAATAATTAACTTAATACAATTAAAAATATTAACATATGTAAAATTGTCACAATTAAAATTTCATTACCATCCATACCCTAAAACTTAACTCCAGGTACGTGATCAAGGCGTTTACTGAGAGGGACCAAACACAAAGTATATTTAGAGCGATCAGTCAGCCGAGGCCACTGAGCGAGGTGGACGTATGTCTATTGCTGTCAAAATTATTGACGATCTTTACATTGTTTTAAGTGTTTCGTCCATAAATCATTTCATCACATTCCTTCGATTCCACAAGGTAATGTAAAATATAAATTATTAATTTTTCAAAAAATACGTTTTTTTAATTAGTTTTGATCTATATTACAATCCATTGTCTATTAATGTAAACTTTTATGAAGATAACACAGCAAATAGTTGAAAATTTTCATTTATCTCCATTTCATTCCTATCCGTACCGTCCATTTTATTGTTGGAAGGTAATGAAGTCCTTTAGAAGGTAATGAAAAATATTCATTTAATTTTAAACTACGAGTTACTTTTCAGTTTTTAAGCGTACATTTATAATAATTATGGCCTATATGACTATACCTTATACGATATTATTATTTTATCTTTTTTTAGTGCCAAAATGGCCAAAACGAGTAAAAAATTAACTAGAGAAGAAAAATTAGCAAAAGACAGACTACGTAAAAGAGAAAGATATAAAAAAATAAAAAACGACCCAGAGCTGTATTCTATACATAAAGAAAACGAGAGAACAAGATATTTAGCAAGGAAAGAAAAGAAAAAAGTTTGTAGTATCAAAGAAATGACCCCTAGAGCACAACGAGAACAAAGAAGACGTTGGAGAAAAAATTCTCGAAAGTATTTAAAAAGGAAGGAAGAAAAAACGAAATACATAAAATATTAATAGAAAATTTACCTCCAGAGAGTGAATTGAAGACTAATGTTAACCCAGACCCTCCTAGTTCAGATCCCTTGATGCTTGCTGAACCGGGACCGTCTTCAACTCCGATTATTAAAAATGTAAGATTACTTAAGTTCAACAGCGCAATATTAAGACGTTTGCGGTATACTCATTCAAAGACGGTGAAGAAATTAAAAGATGAAATTAATAAACTAAAGAGGGAAAAAGATGCTTTTCGTAAACAAATTAATATAGGTCAACCAGAACATGATTGTGTCGAAAAGAGAATTGAAGAAGTTTTAACGGTAATACGAGCCGAAAAAAAAGAAGAAGTTAAAAAACAACTGCTTTTTAGTGAAAGTATATCACAGAACGTACAAGACGTATATAGAACAATGACTAAAAAGGAAAAGAGACATTTTGCAGGACAGATAATTCATAATGAAGAGAGATTGAGGAAATATAAGCTACTTCATAAGTTGCCATTTGTTAGAAGAAAGAAAAAAATTACAAAAGAAAAAAAACAGTCATTGATAAATGACATTCATTCCTTTTTCGAAGAAGACACAAATAGTAGAGTTGCTGCGGGGAAGAAAGAATTTATAAAAAACAGAGGCCTGAAAAAACAGAAGCGGTACCTGACTGATAATTTAAAAAATTTGCATGAAAAGTTCTTGAAGGAGCAAAGTAGCATAAGCTATTCAACATTTTGTAAATATAGACCCTACTGGGTGGTTTTTCCTAATAAAGATCGAGAGACTTGTCAGTGCAAACTACATTCCAACGTAAATCTTTTAATTAAGGCTTTAAAAACTGCAGAAATCATCACCGAAAGTACTGGTACAGACGTTATTAAAACTCTCTGTTGTGATATAAAGCAAAACTGTCTTGAACGTACATGCACAGCATGCGTAAGTAAAGTTTTAAGTTATCGTGAATTCAAAAATGACAAAAAAATTAAGTTTTATTAATGGATTGCAGAGAAAAAATCATATACAGTGAAGAATGGGATACAAAAGATTAAAATTGTTACCATAAAAAAAGACTTGAAGATTATCCGCGCGATGTTATTTACAAATTAGAGTCAATGTTAATTCCATTCCTTAAGCACAACCTAAACATTACAGTACAGTACGAGGTTATCAAACAATTAAAACAAAATTTGAAAGATGATGAGATACTTGTACACATAGATTTTAGTGAGAATTACTGCTTAAAATACAATCAGGAGATACAATCCTACCACTTCGGAGGAAGTCGTCAACAGGTATCCTTACATACAGGAGTTATTTACTATAAAAACATACAGGGTACCTTTAAAACAAAATCGTTTTGTACAATAAGTGATTGCCTAAAACATGACGCTGGAGCTATATGGGCTCACTTATGTCCTATTTTAAAAATGGCTTATGAGCTAGTTTCGTTTAATACCGTACATTTTTTATCTGATTCGCCGTCTAGCCAATACAGGAATAAGAATATTTTTTATATGATTACAAAATTGAAAGACACTATCCCCAGTATTAATAGAGTGACATGGAATTTCCAAGAATCTGGCCATGGCAAAGGTGCCCCGGATGGCATTGGTGCTGTTGTTAAACGGACTGCTGATAATTTCGTGAAATATGGTGGAGATGTTGGTTCGTTCGAAGATTTTGCGACTTTGATAATTAAAAATATAAAAAATGTACATTTTGCGATAGTTACAGAGAGTGACATCGTAGAAAAAGAATTCCCACCCAATGTTCCAGGATTTAAAGGTACGATGCAAGTTCATCAAGTCGTTTGGACTACTGATCATAGTAAGATCATCGCTTTACGCCGCCTTAGCTGCTTTGGCTGTCAAGATTGTAGCATTCCTTGTGTACATAACAAACATTTAGGCTTCCTTTATTTTAAAAATTACGGGGTAGCACTTTCAGATTCAAATGAAACCCTTGAAGCCCATAACGATCAGTCATTAAGCATAGATACTTCCATAATTTTAAATAATATACACGAATCTGTTACTTTTGATGACTTGGAACCTCTCTCAGGCCCAATCGACTTACAGCTCTCACCCATAACGAATGCTACTACAACAAAGACAAGATCTCCAAAAGTCAAGATTTTATCCGATATCCGTTTGAGTTGGGAAAATCGTAAATTTTACGAGACGCCAAAGAAAAATTTAATTCCAAAAAAACTCTATTTAAATAATAATGAGCACCAGCTTCAATTCGAAGCATTTATTCAGTCAAATAAATCAGAAAAAGAAAACAATGCCAATAATTTTTTTGATTCAGATGACAGTGACGAATTTAATATTTTTTGAGTTGTATTATGTAGTTACTTGTTGATTTCTTTTACATATTGTGATTTTACTTCCAAAGATTAATGAGACTTGTGATATTATAATCTTAATAGTTTTTTTTTTATTTTGCATATGAGTATGACTGATTATAACTGATTTTATTCTCAAAAATAGAACAAATTACTTCATTTGAATACGTATCTAATTAAAATTATTGTTTACCTACCTAAATATAAATAAATCACTAATACTTAGTCATGAATTTTTTTTCTACTAAATTTACGTATATCTTTACCATTCCAGCCTTTTTACTTACCATCCCCCTGATTTCATTACAATCCTTCTCCCTTTCATTACCATCCATTCGTTAAATTTCAAGGATTATTTTCTCAGTAATTAAATGACATAAAAAAGTGCCTCACACTTTTTATGAATCTAGTGACCAACCTAACTTGTTAATATACAAATAAACCGTGAAAATACGACTTTTTTTTTCATCCACGGAACGTTCAAATTTGCACGAA